TTTAGTGAAATTAAGTAAAGTTTGGTGTTGTCCGTATAACAGTTCCAACTTGAAGACAAATCACCACCTAGGTCACAAGTGTGTAGGATGAAATGTACAAGGCGGAGAGCTGAACCTAGGGGGAATGGCGTGAGGTATCGGCATTGTGTTTCCAATTGCCACTTGAAATGTTCTGCCCGATCTTCCTGAAGCCACCTCAATAGTTTACCTTGCATACCCAAAGATGGGAGTTAGTGAATGTGATATTTATGTGGTACTTTATCGAAAGCATAATCTAGATAAATGACGTTGTTTCTGACCCAATTCTTTGGTCTATACATCTAGAGACTGGAGTAAATTTGTAGTTGATATTCCTGGAATGAAACAGTGTTGTTGTTTAGGGATAATATCAGTTTCAAATGAATGATTTAAAAGCCTTTGAACAATTGTTTTTCTTGACTTCACACTCTTTGCTTGTCAAGCTTATTGGTCTGTAGTTTTCTGGTAACTTCTTGTCTCCTTTCTTGAAAACTGGTGTGATGACAGATTTTTCCCATGCAGAGGTCTGCTTCCCTGATTCTAATGAATGATTCTATTCAGTAAAGAGGCTAGTTGTAGTTAACAATTTTTCTTATACATGGTTTGAATACCATGAGAACCAGTGAATGAGCTAGCATTCAGTCTGCACATTATCTAGGCAGTTTCGATGTTTGATAATTCAATATTTTCAATACTTCCAGTCTATTTCTCTTCAATAATCGGCAATGGGCCTTCTGGTTGAACGTATATACTTTTCTGAAATCATTTGAAAAGCATTCTGTGATTTCACTTGAATCAGTTATCGCAGAATTCAGAACAATTATAGGAGGACCAGTTTTACAGTTCGTTTGTCTTCATGTATAGGAGAAGAATCTTTTGTCACCATCCTGAAAAATTTGCTCTCTGTGTTTTTGTTTATGCTGTCTCACATTAGAGGTGAGATTGTTTGAGATGTCCCTATAGATGGTGTAACTTTCATCTGTTCCGGTTCATTTATAATTTGTTGCCATATTCTAGTTTCAACCAGAGTGCTTCCACATCAGGGTTTTGTATTATGTACATATTTTTCACTTTCACAGTCGTACTTCCAATTTTTCACATACATTATTACTTCCCCTCCTTGCCTGTCTGGCCTGTCTCTGCGATATATGTGAAAGCCAGGTACATGTATTAAAAAGCCAGGAATATTGGAGTTGATGATTTAGTAATTACTATTACATCTGGTTGTACAGTGTTGACTTCTATCAGAAATTGGTCAAACTTTGGAAGAAGAGTGGCGATGTTTGTGTTCATAATTACTGTATTTTTGTCAGAGTTGCTTGTTACTGTCGTTTTTCATTTCCCTTCCCGTCTACAATCTGCGGAACCCCCTAACGTATTTAATGACAGGTTTGGGGTTTGATTTTTGTCTTCTTTTTCTGTTCTGCACTAAGATCTTTCAATTCAGATCTCTGTGTTAGAGTTAGATTGTTTCTAGCTTTAATTCCATGTGAAAATTTCTTTTGTTTTTTTGAAATATTTTTTGCAGCAACAGTTTCTCTCAAAATTATTTTCACTGGTCTTGGTCTAGAAACCAACTGCATCCTCTAAGTTTAGTGTTCCTAATCTAATTGCAGAGTCAATGTTTCCTCAGCTTGTATATCCAGTTTTTTCCGTATTTCCTTAACAACGATTAGATATTTAGATTTTCGAATTTCACCCTCATCTGAATTTCACCCTCATCTGTTCTTGATTCCTGTACTCCATAAACAATTACATGTCTTTTGCGTAACTCATGCTCCGCAATCTCTTTGATGATCCCAGAGTGTGTTTTGGGGTTTGCTCCTTGAGTCTTAATATTTTGGAGTTCTGTTGATATTTTGTATATTCATTTTACTGTAGTTTCTTGCGAGGATTCAATCTTGTCACGTCTTGACAAATATATGTATCAAGAAGAGAAGAAAAGTAGAGTTAGATAGCTAGGTCGAATTCAGCCAGTCTGGAGGAGAATTCTAGAGGTCCTCTCTGATGGGTAGTTTTCCCTGGTTTCTCCGATCAACACTAGTTGAATGCTGGAACAGTACCCTAACAAACGGGCCATGAAGCGCACACAGTCTTTCCTTCCTCTTTTCCATTGATTTCAGCCTTGAATTTCTGTATGATAAGTTACCCTTGGAATGGAAACTTGAATCATTTCATTCTGTGATGATATTGTTTTATGGATTGTTGAATATTTAATTTTTCAATAGGTCAAAATGTTTAGATTGTAATGTAAATGTTTTCCATAAACAATCCACGTTCGTGACTCCCTATATTTTCGATATGTTCGCAGAAAGTTTTTTTGTACAGCATTTCTATTTTTTTTTCCTTTTTTTCTTTCTTTCTTTCTTTTTTTTTTCTTTTTTTTTTTTTCTTTCTTTTTTTCTTTTTTTTTTCTTCTCACTTCAGCTACTTTCCTCTGACTAGCAATGTCAGGAGAAGCATCAGTAGCACTGTCAATGGGCTTGAAATATGACTCCTGGATTTTTCATGTTTCATACGAGGGAAGACCCAAAAGTAACCAGAATTTCTTTATAAACATTGTGTACTTTACTCTCTATTTATTTATTTTTAATACAACTAATTGCCTTCAAAGTACTCGCCACTAACACTTGTCTAAATGTACATTCCATTATTGAAAGAACTAATGAAATTCGTCCTCTTCAATACCTACTAGCAGCGTTGTAACATTGCATTTTATGTCATCAACATCAGTAAAAGTCTCTCCTTTCCAGTCTGTTTCCATCCTAGGGTACTGGTAGAAGACTGAAGAAGCCAAATCAGGTGAATGGGGTGCGTGGGTCACAGTAGTTATCTTCATTGAGGCCGAAAATCAGCAAACACTGAGAGCCCCACATGTTGACCCCCAGTGAGAAGGCTGGGCACAAACTTTGCTGCCACTCTTGGCATTACCAAATCAATGTTCACATTGGGCTTTATTGAGATCCATTCAGAGAAGTCTTCCAGTTAGTCAGTCGTCCAGCATAGAGCTTCATGGATGAGATTATGGATATTGTCAATGTTGCCCTTGGTTCGAGTAGTTGAAGGACAACCGGAACAAGACTGATCATTAATGTTACTTTCACCCTTTTTAAACTGATAAATCTTAGTACACTGTGCCTTACTAAGAGCATATCCTTTGTACACTGTTTGCGTCATCACAATACTTTCCGCTGCAATCTGGCCAAGTTAAAAATAAACGTTACAGCCACCATTGCTCATGAGGATCAGCCATTTTCCAAGTGCACTACAGAGAGACACAAAGAACTGCCACAAACTGCTATGCATCATTGGATAGCACCTCTTGGTTGATTGACTTATAATTGGTCCTAAAGCTGCTCTAGAGCAAGGAAGTTTTACAGTTCAAAGAGTACACAATTCAAACAATATGATTCCAGTTACTTTTGGGTCCCCATGCGTATCACTTGTACTCCATTTAAATCTCGTGCATATTTCAAACAGATGCATCTTTAGATATGAAAAGCCGTAGTAATAGTATTCAAGTGCAATAGTTTCTGCATAATATTAAAATTTTAGTTTGTATAGTCTAAATTTTCTTAAATCAACCTGCAGAAAAAAATTGATGGACTAATTTCATCACATTTTCAATTATTTTCTGCCTTTGAAAGGACTTCTTATTGTGGGGGATTGTTAGGTATGGCGCCTTTCATACCAGTGTCAATACCTGCTATATCAGTGTACATGCCAATGAATAAGAGAGTAATTATATTGGCAGAGAAAACAATATTCTGTTAAAATAGTTTGCTCGTCTTGTTTATCAAACAGTATGTCTTGGGTTGAAACTGTTCAGCATAAGTATTTTAAGACTTGCTGCATACCGTGCAGGGATCCAGGATCCCTTTCTAACCCACAATTATATCATTGTAGATTCATTTTTGAGCTTCATCGACATCTTAGAGATAATGTTGATTTCATGTTTTTGCGTAAACTTTTAAGTGGTACTATTTGTTGTTCACTTTTCCTGAATCTATTGAGTTTTAAAGTTCCCTACTTTAATACCAGAAGATCACAAATTGTGCCCAGAAGCTTTATAAACATTCGTTCACAGCTAACAACCCTATTAACAGAATTTGTATAACTGCTATTAAGTCTAATATAATTTTTATTTGTCAAATGATGCACCTTTAAGCAATGAAGTGAAGAGTAAACTTTTTAATTTGGAATTATTTTTTATACTATGTAATTATTGTTTGCTATGATTCTCACAATTTTCTCAATATTCTTGTAATTTTCATTATAGTACTTCAATCTTTTGTTTTGTTTATTTTTAAGACTGGTATGATTTAAATTGAATTCAATCATGATTTAAATTAAATGATTTTTTTTAAATCAATATTTTTTTTATTTGTAATGTTTGAAAGTATATTTGTATTTTAAATATTTGTAAAATAAAATTTTTTTTCAGCCCTATGCATTTTTTTATGTTACTGGCCAGTGTGAGCAGTATTTGAAATTAGTATCTCTTTTATGTTCCTATTCCTGTAAGTTTTGTTGTAGTGCTTGAGTCTATTGTTTTGTTTTCTACAATTACAATATATACGCATAATAATATGAACTGGACCTAATGAACTTGATGACTTTGAGTAAATGTGACATATGATTGAGATGTAAGATAATTTACCAGTTCTTTATTTGTTCATTTGGACAAATTGTCTGTTAAATTGAAAATAAATAAAATATATCCGGCGATTTAGATATTATGAAATAACAAAATATAGTGTGGGTTATGTCAAGCGGAATAACATATGCTTGCATAAACTGCAAAATCAATTTAGTTTGTTAATTAATTTTTCCACATCTTTTGTATACTGAACTTAACTCTTCCAAATATTTAATACTTTTAGTGCCAAAATGCTGTTTTCTTGAAGAAATCTAAATCTAATTTATAGATTTACAATTCTTATCCATTTGTAATAATGATAACAATTTGTATGTTTGCACAGCTTTACTGCAACATGGAGCAGATGTGAACATTCGCAACACAGAGGGAAAGACTGCTCTAGAATTGGCAGATGCAGCCACCCGACCTGTGTTGACGGGAGACTATCGTAAGGAAGAGCTCCTGGAAGCAGCTCGTTCAGGAGCAGAGGAGAGGCTCTTGGCTCTGCTCAACCCTCTCAATGTGAACTGCCATGCGAGCGATGGCAGGCGATCAACTCCACTGCACTTGGCAGCAGGATACAATCGGAATCGTGTTGTCCAATTGTTGTTGCAAAATGGAGCAGATGTACGAGCCAAGGATAAAGGGTTAGTTTTCCCAGAAGGAAATTAAGTTCCTCTTATGTTTCTAGGAGGATAATTACCACTTTTTAAAGTAGTTTGTGCTACCTTCGTAGAATTCGCTTATTAATATTGTTTTTGAAAAACATTTGCCAGTGTAAAGGAGATGGAGGCAACTTGAATTCGATTCAATTCAATTTTATTAACAGTTATTTATGTAATACAAATAGTTAGAAACTACTCGCTGAGGAAGAAGTTTCCAGTGTTCAGGCGTGTGTTATCACATATCATTTTTCTTTTCAACCAGTACAAAGTTGTAATAATGCTATTAATAGAAAACTAAGAACTAAAAAAACTAAGGTATGTGATACAGAAGTGAAAAAGAAAATCCAAAAACACATAAAATACTCACTCTAGTAACATGTGTACATAAATGTTTTTTTTCTCTCATACGGATGCACCACTGAACATTTTTAGCATCTTTGTGCTTGACAGATGTACTTAAAGAACGGTGGTTATTACAAAAAAAAATATTTTTTTTCATTGTTAGTATACAATAATACAAAATATTCACGCAGATTTAAATTTGCTATATAGTTGAACACAATGTATGCTTCATTCAAGCAAACTATTATTTTGACGGGTTCTAAAACCATTGATTGTCATCAAAAATCGCATTGCTCTCTGAAGTGTATTTCTCCGCTGTTCATGAGGATTGGAGTGCCATCTGATAATGTTTCAGAAGGATCCTTTCAAAGACTGCAATTGGAGGCTGATGGTTTTTTTTACGGTGGATTTATTGTTCCAATATTATCACTTAATATTACATTGTAAGATTTTGTTCAAATCATATACGAAAGTGTATGACAATACGGTGAAATGTGTCTTTCAGCAGTCAATAATAGTTACAGTGAAATTTGACTGTAAAAAGAGGTGATTGCTTGATGAAGGTTATGACGTACATCAGATCTAAGTTTTATGTTAATTGCTGTGAAACAAAGTAGAATGCTTTCCTGAAAATATTTATAATTGCCTTAAATTACAAAATACAACTTAAACGAGGAATCTAGAATCACAGCCCATGAAATGACAAACATCGAACATATTCTGGACATCACGCAATTTGTTTTTTGGAAGTTTTGGATGGAAGAATGGAAAAAGGAGTTTTGCATTCTCACCCAATTGAACTCACAATACACTTATCAATCTGTAGATACTTTAGAGTGAGGGGAGTTTGTTAATTACCTTCAGAATTCACACATGTTGTATGCTCCAGAAATCATTGACAAATTCTCAGAGGTGGTGCAAGGATAAGCAAATTTCAAGAGAAGGCTGTGGAATGGGTGAAGTCACTATTTCGTAGAGATGTTTTATAAAAATCATTTGTAGTCTCAAACATAAATTAACTTTGCAATGAGACAGGTGTCACTAGCTCATAAGTAATGTGACAATCTTTCCTGTTGCAGAAAGATACCAAATCAATAGTAATGGTTATTTATTAATATTCTTTACCCTTTCCAGGGGACTAGTTCCATTACATAATGCTTGTTCCTACGGTCACTTTGAGGTAACTGAACTTCTAATCAAACACGGAGCAAACGTAAATGCTATGGATCTCTGGCAGTTTACTCCTCTCCATGAAGCTGCTTCAAAATCTCGTGTGGAAGTATGTTCCTTGTTGCTAAGTGAGGGAGCTGATCCTACACTGCTCAACTGTCATTCAAAATCTGCTATAGATGTTGCTCCTACGCGGGAACTTCAAGAACGTTTGGCCTGTAAGTATCTTCATTTAATTATGTAATAAAATAATGGTAGCGGGTTCTGTATACATATTTCATGTACGATAATTAATGTAGTGCACTTATCGTAGTGTCTTTGTTAAAGAATATTTCATTGTAGCTTATTCCAATAAATATTGTTAAAACTTATTTAAGTATCTCAGACAGGATGAGCATAAAATTTAATTCAGTCAACAATCATTTTTGTTAGGAGTGAAATTCTTGGGGACTACCCGGAATGTTTGTACAATTGCTGGCCCTTGAATTCAAATTATAATTTTTCTTTTTCTTTGTCTTCGTTTTTTTTTGCTGTGGAATATTAAAGCTGTAACAAAAGAGAAATCAAGTTGATTTGCTTCATTGCATTACAAATGAACTTTAGTTAAGTGTGTACTCAAAAAGAGATTCTATTTATTTGTTATTCAGTCCCTTTTCTTAAATTATGGACAACTACAATGATAAGTGCCAAAAATTTGTTTCACATAATAATTTTATTCACTTGTATCACTATGACATTTCGGAGACTGTTTTGTCTCCCTCGTCAGGTACAACTGAGTAGTGTCTAACACCTTTTTTTAGATGTAAATGTCCTA